TGTGTTACGCATGTAACAGGTTTTATACTTCCTGTGAGTATAATCCAATCAATCTTATTTTCATACTGTATATCCGTTGTGTAATTTGATAAATTGTGTTGTATGTGGTGCTCGCATCGGGTACTACTGAGACTTCATTGCCCTCTTCAGAGAAGACTCTGACTGCAACATGCGTCTTTGTAAAGAGAGAAACGGACAGAAAAAGTCTCTAACTCTGCCTGTCAGCTCGCTCTGCTCCGTTAAAACTGAATTTACCATACAGAATTGAATACGAGTGCACTCCAGATTTAGCTGCAGCCAGCTGACCGTGTGCTTCTCCCTATACCGCAGTTCTGTGTCCATGCATGCAGCAAACTGAAAGCACTGTCTGTCGGAGCGTCTACGTGAAAAGAGAAGGAAGACATTGCTGGTAGTATTGTCTTCAGAGTTGTTAAACACCTCAGCGCACTGAAGGAAGCCATCTGACTGTGTGAGGGGCAAGATCGTTGATGTCTGCAGGCAGAGTAGGAGCTCTCCTGTCTGACTGGTCTACCAATAGCAGAGAAGATGACCCCTTGAGACACAGCCCCTCCTCATTTGCATAATGAGGCAGAAATGCATACAAAAATTTAAAAAGGACAGGCAGAAATAAATACCATGGGTGAAATTAAATAAGCTAAAAAAATACAAAGGAAGAATAAAACAGACAAAAATATTAAACACACACATAAATAAATATATTTAAAAAATTAGTAATAAATAAAGTTGAATATACAAATAAGGTAATTATAACAAAGGTGAATAAGTAAAGGTATTATTATTATATTCTAAAATTATAATACTATTAAAGGCACTATTAAAGGCGTATTAAAGGCACTAATTAAAATATATACATTGATGTCTCCTTGTATATTTAATTACTACCTACATTTATTTATTTACTTTATTTTTTTGTGTATTTAATTGGATGCTTATTTATTTATTGAGCATTTATTTATTTCTGTATTTATTTCTGACTGTGTCAGGATCAGTCCTCCATAGCGGGGTGGGAGAGTTATCAAGCACGTAAAGTTTGGTTCAGATGTGAGCATGTACACTGAAGTTACAACAGCTTCCTGTGTCATGGCAAAGACTTGATCTTTGACGCCACGCCACAGACACGCACATTGACGAAAACTTGCAAATAGCACAACTTTTCATCTTCAATGCCTTTAGAAGGCACAGCAGAAATTTGAAGTCGGTCGGACTAAATCCCTAGGAGGAGTTCGTTAAAGTACGAAGTGTGTAAATCATCCAAAATTTGACGTAAAATTCAAAATGGCCGACTTCCTGTTGGGTTTAGGCTATGGCTCCAAGAGACTTTTTTGTGCGTCTGGACAAGATACACGTACCACAGAAAATTCGTGCACGTAGGTGAAACGTGCGGCGGGGGCTGCTTCGTTAAAGGTCACTTTCTGTTGCCAGCAGGTGGCGCTATGACTGTGGGTGAATGTCGGCATGTACATGTGTTCAGGGCGGGACTCTCATCCTAGATGTACAGTTTGGTCCAGATGTGAGCATGTACACTGAAGTTACAACAACTTCCTGTTTCATAGCGAATCATCGACGCCACGGACACGCCCATTGACGAAAACACGCAAATAGCACAACTTTTCATCTTCAATGCCTTTAGAAGGCACAGCAGAAATTTGAAGTCGGTCGGACTAAATCCCTAGGAGGAGTTCGTTAAAGTACGGAGTGTGTAAATCATCCAAAAATGGCCGTAAAATTCAAAATGGCCGACTTCCTGTTGGGTTTAGGCTATGGCTCCAAGAGACTTTTTTGTGCATCTGGACAAGATACACGTACCGCAGAAAATTCGTGCATGTAGGTGAAACGTGCGGCGGGGACTGCTTCGTTAAAAGTCACTTTCTGTTGCCAGCAGGTGGCGCTATGACTGTGGGTGAATGTCGGCATGTACATGTGTTCAGGGCGGGACTCTCATCCTAGATGTACAGTTTGGTCCATATGTGAGCATGTACACTGAAGTTACAACAACTTCCTGTGTCATGGCGAAGAGTTGATCTTTGACGCCACGCCACGGACACGCCCATTGATGAAAATTCGCAAATAGCACAACTTTTCATCTTCAAATGGCCGTAAAATTCAAAATGGCCGACTTCCTGTTGACTTTAGGGTATGGGTTCTTGAGGCTTTTTTGTGCGTCTTGATATGATACATGTCCCCAGAAAATTTCGTACATGTACACTGAAGTTACGACAACTTCCTTTTTCATAGCGAATCATCGACGCCACGGACACGCCCATTGACGAAAACGCGCAAATAGCACAACTTTTCATCGTCAATGCCTTTAGAAGGCACAGCAGAAATTTGACGTCGATCCGACTAAATCCCTAGGAGGAGTTCGTTAAAGTACGAAGTGTGTAAATCATCCAAAAATGGCCGTAAAATTCAAAATGGCCGACTTCCTGTTGACTTTAGGCTATGGGTTCTTGAGGCTTTTTTGTGCGTCTTGATATGATACATGTCCCCAGAAAATTTCGTACATGTAGGTTGAACGTGAACGAGGGGCTAATCTTTTCCAATTTTCTAGGTGGCGCTAGTGAGTCATTTTGCCACGCCCATGTGCGAAACTTGTAGAATACGAAATTTTTCACCGGTTCTGACATGTTTGCAAATTTTGGTGAGTTTTCGAGTATGTTTAGGCCATGTCAGTTGAGCCTACTTTGCAGAAAAAAAAAAAAAAAAAAACTCTGAGCAAATTCAATAGGGACCTCGCACGGTCGTGCTCGGGCCCTAATAATCTTAGCAAATTCAATAGGGACCTCACACGGTCGTGCTCGGGCCCTAAATATAATCTTAGCAAATTCAATAGGGACCTCACACGGTCGTGATCGGGCCCTAATGAGAGATGTGGGGGCCTGTGCCCCAGTAGAGCTTTATGTCTAGCACCCCTCTGGTCCCTACACTAATATCATAACTGACATCATATAAGAAAATGCCATCTCAACTCATTGTTGGGTATAATAGGAGTATGGGTGTAAGTTACGATACACTGTGTGGGAGAAGTGCATAAACAAAAGCAAGACAAGCGAACAAACACCTTAATGAAGTGGACACACTGCAGTCTGATTAGTATTGGGGAAGATGTTGGTTCCTAAAAATAAACATTGTTCATGAGCCCTGTACCTCCAGTCGGAGTCAAGTCTGAAGTCTTTTGAGGACAAGTCTCAAATCGAGTCTGAAGTCACTGTGTGTGCGACTTAAGTCAGACTCGCGTCCGAGTCTCAAACTCGAGTCCCCATCTCTGAACCATGGCAACAGCTTCTGTTAACTTTGCTACCTAACTTTACCTGATAAGCCTTCATCTAGTTTTGCTGGGATGCTCTGCCATGTGAATTCCCTCCTGTTGATGTCCTAATAACTATTTAGTAAACAGTAATAGATTCTGCAAACTCACAAACAGCGAGGATCAGTCTCTCTTCCAATAATTTGTGCTATGGATCGTGTACAAAAAGTTCAAGACAATTCAATTTCGGGAGCGGGCGGGCGGGCATGTGTGTGAGGAGACCACTTCACCTCACTCTAACGGGGACACTTGCTACTGAACTGTTTCTGCTGCTCCCTGATAAAAGAATGTTAACCTGTTGCTCAGAAGGTGCCTGTTATGATGTTGTGATTGTGGCTCTGGACTCTAACTTGTTTTAACAAGCTAGATAAAAGGTAATGCCCTGGCAGTGGCAAATAGCTTTGGTTTAATATTCGATTGGATTAAATTAATGTTTAAATTGAGATTTACAAGAAATATTTTATTGCTACTGTGTAAAAACTGGTAAAAAGCACCTTATTTGTTTAAAGTGTTTGCAAACCACATGTTATTGCACTTTTGTGCATATAGCAGTACATTTAAATTAAAAGTGCGCAATATACTACTTTAGAATTCATTATTAATTTTTGCGCATAACTATGCGAATCACAGAAAATCATGCGATTAATCGCAATTAAAGAAAAGGTTTGCCCAGCACTGATAATAATAATATAAAATATATATATTGCAACCCAAAGAGTTTGCTAAAAAAGGTCACCAATGTAGAGAAATAAACTTTTTTTCATGCAGTCACTACTGTTTATGGAAAGCATCTCATACTGCCTTTATAACACAGGAATAGAATTATCTATCATGAATATCACAATTAATTATGCACTCAGTTCCAGCTCTCTGATGGGAAGTTTTATAATGTGGAACCTATGTCTTTGATAATGTTATAAATCATTTAACAATTATAATGTGTCAATAATAAGCCATAAATAAAAAATGTTTGCGTTTATTCTCCTTTAACATGAAACTTGCTTTTTTTTTGTTTTTAACTAGTTCTATAAAAGGAAAAATGTTTTTTTAGATAGGTAGGTAGGTTTATTGTCACAATATAACAAGTTAGAGTGAAATTGAGTGTAACTCCCTGCTGCTACATAGCAGACAATATACATTAATACAGAATAAATTATAAAATTGTTAAACAGAAATAAACTATAATCAATGGAGCAGTGTTGAGGATGAATTAGAGTTTAAGAGTCTGATAGCTTGGAGGACTGCTCTGCAGTCTGGTGGTGTGGCAGCAGAAACTTTTATATCTCTTCCCAGAAGGCAGCAGGGTGAACAGGCTGTTGGCTGGGTACTGTCCTTTAGTATCCTTTGGGCTCTGCGTAGGCACCTCACCGATATCACTGATGGGTACCAATGATCTTCTCAGCAGTTTTAATCATCTGCTGCAGAGCCCTCCGGTCCTGGGCCGTGCACACCCCATGCCAGTTTGTGATGTTTCCAGTCAGTTAATCATTTGTTTTTTCGTTCATCGTTTTTTTTCTGTGGCCTTCAGTTCCATTATTTTGGTAAAAAGTCAGAACACAGGTATTTTGCTAAAAAAGGTCCAACAACTTCTAGCACTCAGACTGGTCAGATAATCGTAACTGACTGACTTAACCAAAGGCCAGAGCTACAAAAAGTCAAACACCAGGTGTAATAAATGATAGTTTTCCTTTAATTCATTGAGAAGATGGTTAGCCATTAAGCCAAAACAATCTCGACCTAACACGAGTTGTTCTGATTATTGGCTTATTACTGATCTATAAAGAATTAGTAATTAATGTATTAACCATTAATAAAGAATGCTTTGTTAAATACCAGAAAGTAGTACCACAATTTTGTAATCTGGTAGCAACTGAATTTATTAAATATACAAATTTTAAATGAAAATACTGTAAATGAGGCAATCCAGGTGTAGAAGAGTTGCACTTTTCAAGATGATAGGTTACCCAGTGTTTCTTATTTTAGGAGCAACATGCTCAGTTACAAATTAGGAATAAGATTTGTATGGAGAATGCTGGATCTGCTGAAAACCCTACAATATCAGTAGCTTAATATCAGTAGCTTAAAACCTATAAATATAGACCTAGCCTATATTCCGGTATTCATTCTAAAAAATGAAACAAATTCTTTAAAAAAAAAACCCACAAAGAATATTATGGCCAAAGCTTTCTCTACACCAATACAATTATATACCTGTGTACAGAAAATCCAAGTAAGTGGTGCTTTGTGACTATTACAACTGTCCTGAGTTACAAAACATTATAGGATACAAACACAACATGTCTCATTTTTAACAGAATGGCTCCACTGACAACCATTACAAAGTCTTTGGTCACATTCAGATGTGTGATTCTATGTGAAGGGTCTGCTGCTGCTGATGATTATGCTGCTGAGAAGTTTGATCTGATGGAGTCCTCTCGCAGCTGACGGTGCTTCCTGGTGTCGCACTCTTCACTATGTGTGCGACGCTCAATGGTAATCCTGTAGTTTTTTCTGCACAGGAAGGAAGGAATCACATCAAAGAAAAAATCTTGTTTTTCAACGTGTTTATTTTCATATACATATATATATATAGTGTACTTACATAAACATAGCGGTGTGCACAGTTTTGTTCCATGCAATGAACAATTACATTTAACAAACATTTAGGTTCTCTAAATCTCTAAAAGATTTAGAGAATATGGGTCAGCTGAAGGTCTGTTTCCATCCTGTGTGATTGTGTCCCTTGTAATGCTGGACTGCAGTGTCCTGGAATCCTTCACTTCTCAGCTATGTGGTTGGTGATTAAAACCAACAGAATGGATAGTGTAAACTAAGTAAACAAGACATCAATTTTTACAGTCAAAAATAATGTCAAGGTAATTTTCAAATGTGTTCATAATTTATTTTCTAAAGGAATATAAAAGCATTGAAGCCTTTGAGTGGGAGGGCAGGTTTAATTGATTGCTGAGCCAGCCAACAGCACCTAACAGACAAGTCAAGACAAGATAAATGTCGCCTATTGTTACCTGAAAAAGTAGAATGCTATAAGCATTGCAGCTCCCAGAACAGCTCCCACTATGACTCCAGTCAAAGCTGATACTCCTAGTCCACCTGTTAGGAAGAGCAGTCATTGGTACTCCATCATACATACTGTAGACAACAAATTCCAAGTAAGATTTCACAGGTTTCAGTGAACAATAATGTTAATTTACATGATTTGTCCGGTATCTCTGTGTGTGCTTTAAATCTTTCGCTCAGCGTGAAATGGTCAGCTTTGAAGGCAGGCAGCAGCTGAAATGTTCCATTTACACCAAAGTAGTTGGCCACCACCTATAAGTTAATAAACAATATTATCATCTAGTCGAAATTCCTAAGCACATTTACCATCTTCTGCTTGTTAGGGAATGTTAACAGTTTGGGGTTGCACATCACAATGATGGAATTTTGCATCTTCTTACCTCATATGTTCCTGCCTCAACATTGGTCATGGCCATCAAAGAAAAATCTCCATTTCTGTCACCATTGACATCCATCGATACCTGGCCAGCGATTCCTGTCCACCATCATGAAAACAATGAGAACTTCATTTAGCTACACTCAAGAAAGTAGAAGAAAAAGACACACACATAGTTAGACACAGGAGACTCAGCCAGCGGACGTCTTGTCACTGTGTGCTTCAGCTCAGAGTCAGAGCCAAACTCAAGAGTTTGTTGAAGAATGTTGTTGGTTCACAACGTCAGTTACAATGGGTAACTTACCCAGAGTTTTAGTTAACGATCTTTCTGGAACAGAAAGCCGAGTTTCCCTCATCTCAAGTTTTCACTAAACCCGTTTTCTGAAACAGGACCCAGGAAGTATTTACACTTCTACCCGCCCAGGAAAACTGAATGCTTGAAACAGCAAACATTTTTGGAAGAACTTTGCTGGAGTAAGATTTTTTTTAGGATAATTAACTATTTACTATATTTTGGGTACGATTTTTATTACACCACACAAGTAACATTGATTATAGTTGTATGGACGTTATCCATATTATGAATCATATTACTCCTGTCCTTCAGCAGCTTCATTGGCTCCCATTTAAATACCGCATAGATTTCAAGACTCTGCTCCTGACCTTCATGGCCATTCACAACCTTGCTCCTCTGTACCTCACTGACCTCCTTCATATTAACACACCCACCCGTACTCTTAGGTCTTCTTCTTCATTCACCTCACTGTACCTCCTGCTCGTTTGACCACCATGAGGTTCGGAGCCTTCAGTCGCTCTGCCCCCCGTCTCTGGAACTCTCTTCCACTAGACATCCGCAACGTTGCATATCCCACATGATCACTATTTATCAGGTCACAGCAATATTTGTTTTGTTGTTATGTACCCTGATTTTATGCACTGTAATTATAGTTGTTAATTTTATCAATTTATTGCTGTACTGTTTTATTATGTTTTGTGAGGTGATGTTGAGTGTCCAGAAAGGCACCTATAAATCAAATGTATTACTATTAGGGCTGTCCCCGACTAAGGATTTACATAGTCGAATCAGAATCGTCAAGTCCTGCCTATAGTCGACTGATGGCGATTGCGAGTAGGGGCTATAATCTTGAAAAGCTGCAGAGCTGCAGTCTCTTTTCATTCAACTTACATTGTAAATTTCCAGCTAAACTGAGGCTTTTTGAAGACCCTTTTCTCTCTCTCTCTCTCTCTCTCTCTCTCTCCTGTCATTCACCGGTCTTATGAGTTTTACGTGCATTAGACTATTGCTGCTGACAACTGCATGCACGTCGCGGTTCCTCGCGGGTCTATTTCAAGTAGCCGGCTATTTAAAAACGATTATATATTCTTTATGTGGTTCATCAACAGTGATAAATTATCTGAAAGTCCCGCGAGGTGCGAACAACTTGGCACAACACGGTGAAGCTGGGGCTCGGTCTCTTCAGCAAGCGTTCCTCCACTGACACTGGACACATTCACGCTACACTTACACATGTGCACTGACGACCCAGGGTTAGGGTTACAATTTTGGATTTATTCATGCACTTCAAAAACATTTATTGAAAGTTTTATTCTTTTTACATATTTATTTACAGCATTAAACGTTGAAATGTATATTTTAATAGGCTGTATATTAACTTATTGGGAGAAAACTGGTGGTTCTATGTAAAATCAGACACTGGGCGCCCACATATCGCCAAAATGGCATGATCCTTGTTTCACTGCGATGCTTCGACTGTGAGATTGACAGTCGAATCAGGCTCCGCCCATTGAAGCATTGAATCTTCAACTATTTGGGGTCAGCCCTAATTATTAGGGTCCGAGCATGAAATTGCAAGGGCACCAATGGTTTCCTAGTACGAAGTACAAAGAACCTATTGTTTTTACTCAGATTATTATCTTTTTTTTTCTCCCCAGAGAAGTCATTTTTGAAGGCCTTAGGATACTCGAATCATCACGATCATTTTCACACACCTTCGGTCTGGTGGGAAATCCAATGTTCTGCAGTGATTGGGGTCGGGCGTGGCCAGGGGGCTCCATAGCGCCCCTAAACAAACACCTTGTTTTGAAAAAAGTTTCTTTGATCTTCATGATATTTGGTGTCATTATTGCTTTTATTCCAAAGTCCACATTTCTGCTTTTTTATGAGATTTTGCTCAACAGGAAGTCCATGATTTTGCACTTCCTGCGTCATTTTCAATATTTAAACAGACATTTGAGGCCTTTAGGATGCTTAAAGAGCCACAAAACTTTGCGGCCTGACTCAACCTGGTAATGTTTCGATTTGATGTCATTTTTAAGACTGAAGGTTGCACATTGGCTCAATAGTGCCACATGGCACACTGTCACATGGCCAGGGATGTTCAAACCCTCACGAGACTTTGCACGCTTGTCCACGTTGTTTTGTATTGGCTGATATGGTTTGGGGGTGTGTTTGTGGAAAATTGGCTTAATAGCGCCCCCTACAAAATTTCAAATACCAGCAACTGCTGTACGTTGTACCTAGCAGTATGAAACTTGAGTCACCGATGTATCTTCTCCAGACTTAAAAATAAGTCTCTTCAAGCCATATCCTAAACCCAACAGGAAGTTGGCCATTTTGGATTTATTTACAAGCGTTTTCCCTGTTTACAGGCTCCGTACTTTGACAAACTCCTCCTAGAGCTTTAGCTCCCCCTGATCGACTTCAAATGTGGGTAGCACCATCTTAAGAACCTTGCGATGTTAAATTGCGAAGCTTTCTTTGATTGCTCAAATGGCATGGCCACAGCGTGGCGTTGAATTTGGATGTTTCGCATGAAAAAGGAAGTAGACCAGGTCAGATCTGTTCCAAATTTCACATTTCAGCCCATTAGAGTCTCACATGTCAATATCCAGTCATAGTGACTGCGCCACCTTCTGGCACCAGGAAAGGGCATGTTTCAAACTTGACCTCCAATACCTCATTTTTCAGTTTTATGACACATAGCATCTTAGGGACAAAAATGGTCTCAGTGAGATTTTTTAGCTTTTACATGGCTAGGAATGCTTAAAACCTGAGAAAACTTGCCACGCATGTCAGAAGGGGTGTTTTCTGTTATTTAATATGGATGCGCAGCGTGCTTGTGGAAAAATGGCTCCATAGCGCCCCCTACAAAATTTCAAAGAAGCAGCCCCCGCCGTACGTTTTACGTAGCTGTACGAAATGTGGGGGGCAGATGTACCATCTCTAGACTTAAAATTAACCCTCTTGGAGCCATACCCTAACCCAACAGGAAGTCAGCCATTTTGAATTATTTACGAAATTTTAACCCGTTTACACCCTCCATACTTTTACGAACTCCTCCTACAGCTTTTACCCGATCAACCTCAAATGTGGGTAGCATGTTAAGAGCCTTGCAATGTTAAATTGTGAAGCTTTTTTTGATTGATCAAACGGTGTGTCCATGGCGTGGCACTGAATTAATGTCTTGCCATGAAAAAGGAAGTCCATGTAAATGGACTAAACAGGGTCAGATCTATCCCAAAATTCGCTGCACCCGAGGCACGCAAGGGGGCGAGGGCCCGCTCAACGGTGCTTGCAGCTTTAATTGTTATTATTATTATTATTATTATTATTATTGTTATTATTGTCACGGACTCGGTGTAAGCAGTGTTTTACAGTGTTTTACCTTCAAAAGTTCTGTTCCACATGCGTGAGGTGATCTCTGTACCGTTTTTCTTACTGTAACCATTTTTCATGGCTTCGTGCAAGGCGATGGCATACAGCAACATGGCATCATGGAATCCCTCAACAAACATGTTGACCTGAAATGGAACATATAGTCATAAAGAGGAAGTGATTGTACAGTAGCTGCCACCATCTGATTGAAATTACACTGCATGATGGATCCGAGTAACAATGTCTTTTTTTCTTTTTTTACAATGTATGCAATTGATAATTGATAACTTGAATACAGTAATGCAGACCTGGCATTGCCGGTCGGGCTCGAAGGGGTAAGGCCTGCCTATTTAATTTTCTTAGCCCCTTCCAGACAAAATTGGCATATTTTAAAATTATTATTACTATTTGAAAGATGTTTTTCAGCCATATTAACATACAGTAGTAGCCATCTAAAATTCAAAATTAAATTTTTTCATTGACACTGTTTTCTGATAGCCTTGCACCTACATGATGAGTGTATAATTACTCATTTCAAAATGTCCCTACCAAAACAAGTCCAGAAACACTTGAGTCATCATCTTTACAGCATTATGAGGCAGTCCTGCTGATGAGGACAACAAGGATCTAGGAATCCTCCTGGACTGGGCTAAGAAGGCTCAGTGCCGACTATGGATGCTCCAGACATTAAACATCTGCCCATATTCATTCAGCAGTGACCAGTGGTCTGTTCTACTCTGTGATGTGCTGGGGTACTAGGCTGAGAGCAGCAACCACCGACAAGTGAAAAGGAGAATGCTGCTCAATCCACAAAGCATCATGGAAACACCTCTCACCCCCTTCATGTATTTTTGGATGAACATAGGAGCACCTTCAGCAACTGACCGATACCATCAAGATGCTCAACTGAACGCAACACGAGATCCTTTCCATAGTGGGCAGCAGTCTGAATGAGTGATCTCTCACTAAAAGACACAAACATCAGACACTGACAAGGGACTATTATTATCATGCATGTTTATCATAAACCTCAAACTCAAACCACTGCTCCTGATCATAGTAATACAGATGCATCTGATACTTCTTAGCCATGGTAGTGGCATGACTTTAGGGATTACAATGTCAGCCTCTCTGTTGGTTAGTCTATCATTTTAGTCCATACTGAAATATCCAAACAACTAATGGACTGCCATGGATGTTTGTACAGACAGACTTTTGTAATTTCCTGACTTTTCATCTTGCACCATTCAGGTCAAACACTTCAATTACAAATGAAAAAATTAGAAGTTAGAATGAAACACGTTTTGGCACAGACATTAATGGCACAGGGGATGAATCCTAAAAACCCCCTGACTTTTTCTCTAGTGCTGTCCTCAGCCCAGGTTTGTTCAATATGCTAGTTTATAAAATACCTACAAAATAACAATAGTTTATTTGAGGATTTTCATTTAGAGCGCATCATAGAACAGAGATAGCACTGGTGAAAATTACAAATGATCTTCTAACTGCATCTGACAAAGGACTTGTCTCTCTACTTGTCTTGTTAGATCTTAGTGCTGCACTCAATACCATTAACCATCACATCCTGTGCCCAAACACCTCCGACAACAGCAATAATGGTGTTTCCCAAGGGTCAATACTTGGCCCAATTTTGTTTAGCTTGTGTATTAATGACCTGCCCTTAGCCTGTCAATCTATCAACATACAAATGTATGCTTACAGTTATTTATGTACATGCTAAAAAGAAACAACAAGCTCAGGTTATGATAATTAACTAAGCAGACACTTAAAAGGGTTTCTACCTTCTCAAGACAACCAAAAGGAGAACACTAATTTTTGAATTTTAGAAATGTGTAAATGTAGTAACAAATGTTGAAAACAAGTACCAAGCAGATTCATTAAAATGCTTTTGAAACCCTAACCCCCTAATAAAGTTACATACACTGAAGGAAACAGATTCCAACCCTGTAAAAGGGCTGCCAAGTTTTGGTGGCTATTCATTTATACATATTTTTATACATATATTGTATTTCGATTCACTCCTCCCAGAGGTCGTACAGCCCTAAATAAAAAGTGAACCACACATGGTGCTTTTAGTGGTCCAACATTTTGTTTTGCTAATGCAGCGTAATTATAAATATACACAAGTATTACCTGACTTATCAGCGTCTGCAAATTCATCATATATCAGTCAGTAATTTGAGTGTGAGTTAGACAGACATACGTACACTTCCGCAGTCTTTGCAGTCGTGAAACCCAGCTTTTTTGATGGACTTTTTCATTTCCATGGAGAAGTTTTCAAACTCAGGCTTGACTGTCCTAAGTAGCGTCACAGTATTCAGAGAAGCATAGGCTTGCCTCGCATCGTTGTCATATTTATCTCCTCTCTTCCATGATCCATTGCCTAGAATTAAATTCAAAGAGGACAGAACAAGGTACATTTTCCAAACATTATTGTTAAAAACCTAATTGTTTGATCAAAATATACTTCAAAAATAATGAGCCCTGCCCAGTTTGCCATTGCATGAAGTGGTGTACTGTAGCGTTATGGTACTCGAGTCTTAAGTCTTAAGACCACTTTTTGATGGTCCTAGTCTTGTCTCAACCGCATTTGTTCTCGGCCTTGTCTCGGACATTGAAGACTAGAGATTTTATTTCAAGAAAAGGCAAGACCAGAACTTTAGGAATATCAAGAAATTGCCTGTGCATTGTCTGATTTATTTGTTAACATCCTTAATTTTATTGGATGTAAAATGTATTGCTTCAAATGCAACCAATAACCTTAATTAAAAATGTGTTGTACCTGTTAACGACTGTCACCCCTACCCGTCATGATAAGCATGGAAAAGGAGTTTTGAATAAAGACACTTACGTTGATTTCAGCTCTTAGTGTTTGTATGTGGGGATTTTAATGGGAATGTGGATCTTTCAGATCAGTTTGAGAATTACCTATTATCTCGTTCCACATTTTATTGTATGTCATGTAATGTAGAGAACTGGTATTGGTCTTGACTCGGTCTCGCCCTCCCTCGGTCTTAGCCTCTAAAAGTCTTGGTCTTGTCTCAGTCTCGATAAACTCTGGTCTTGGTCTTGGTCTTGACTTGGTCTCGGTTCGGGCAGTCTTGACTACAACACTAGTGTCCCGTTTATGTAAAGAGAGCAAAAGTAAAAGTGAGGGAGGTCAGTGAGCATGTAGCGTGTCTGACTTTCATGTTGGATTGTCATACAGGACATGTAAGCAAACAGCTGCCTAGTTCCACATCTAATAGATGAAGAACAACATTATCATTTATTTAGAGTCTTGCTTGAGATACTTTTAGCTCTGGTTTAATCTCCACCAACTAAAATATGTGGAATATTTTAAGTTTTGTTGAAAAGCTATTGCTAAACTGAATTACTGGCTTTCAAAGTTGAATAATACCAATAATGTATGAAAAAATGTTAAACACCACAAGTTTTCAATAGTTTTCAGCAGAACTATGATGAAATAGATGAAAAGTCTATATGAATAGGAAGATTTTAGAAAGCTGAACTGCATTACTTGACTAATGCCTGGGAGCTAATTGCATTGGTGGCTTAAGTTTGTGTAAAGAAGTAACTGACGGGCATGGGAAAAGTTCATTTAGTTCTTATTGTTATTTTGAAAAAAACAGCCTTCTCCTGAGTTCCTTTATAGTTACTGTCGTGTTTTTTGTTGTTTTTAAAAAAAAAAACACATCCACTAATAGTTTCCTGTTGTTATAGAACATAGGGGCTTTTATTTCAAAAAGTCTGGCTCATCCCGACTTGTATAAAAAGATTACCATGTTTTGTTTTGTTTTTTGTGTGTGTGTGTGTGTGTGTGTGTAAAGGTCCACAATTTTCTCATTTTGCATGAACGACGTGGAACATATTAAGGTTTAAATGTAATTCATAGCAAAAAGTATGAATAAAGAGAGATTTCTACTTCCCTCCTGAAAATCCTGGTCTCAGTTATAATGGTAGTCTATACAGCAGTTGGCTGTCACTGCTGTCACTTTAAAGCTGACTGTGCTAATTGTTTGATTCCATAGTTACATGTCTGCAACCAGCACAGATTTTCCTACATTTAGATGTATAAATGATGTTTTGAGGAGTGAAAATTGTGGGAGAGGGAGCATATTGATGAAAATATTTTAAAACAACTTTACAGCTTCTTTGCTCTCTGTTAAGTCACCCAATCTAGCTCTGAACATTTCGCCCCTCATGCATCCAGCATTCACACCAAATAGAAAGCATATTCATACATTAAGTCTGCATAAAATGTATACTAGAGTAATAGAGTTATTATTAGTCTTACCATAAGAAGAGGCATTGAAGAGTTCAACATTAAAGAACATATATTTGCTGTTGGTCAACCGTTGTCTGTGTGCAGCCAGCATGATCTCTCGTATTTTGTCTGCTCCCATGCACATGATCACCACTGCAAGACAAATACAGTTTTTGTCTTTAACCAGATCTTAGTAGTAATATTCATAAGGTCATTGAGAGAACATTTTCATAATTTTCATCAGTTCAAAACTGACACCTGGGGAAGTTAAGCCACTTTTGAAAGTGGCTTAACTTCTTTGAGTGGTTCCAAAACAGTGTGATTTTACTTTAAAATGTGATAACTATACATTGTTCTTGCAATATACAACTATACAAAAAAAGTTTGATTTACTATATCAGTACTCATATCCCAATTCAGAGGCAAATTCTAAATGCAAAACAATCCTTCTGTCAAAGTGAATCCCAGTCTTTGCCGTTTCTGCAGTTGCTGGTTGGTGGGAATGATTAGTATCACACATAGGTGTCACATCAAAGGCCCTGATTGACAACTTTTTTTCCTACCCACACTCTGGGAAATTTCCCTCTGATTGGCTAGTACTTATTGCGTTTGTTGGTTAGGGTGTTTGGACCTCACGTGATGGGAACAAAGAAGTGGCCTACATGTAAGGCCAGAAGCCTTAACAAAGCGGTCTATATGTAAGAAAAAAAAGAACACAAAAACAGCAGCAAAATCCCTCTGGTCCATTAAATCACACCTGAATGTGAGATACTGCTGAATCCAAGTATTATATTCCTACTGGCCGAGCCACTCATGGGAGCACAAGAGCCACCTGTGGCATGGTCATGATGTCACTAAAATATAGAAAACTATGTGAGTAGCTAGCTAGCTATCTATGTTAGTCTTAAAGGCATTGACAGCCCCCCGAGGCCCCTTAGGCACACACCCCTGAGATGGTTAGGATAACCTAACCATCTCAGGGGTGCGTGCCTACACCTAAGTCAGTGACTCTATGCATGTTGACTGGTTGACCCTACAGAGGCGCACATTGACCTCAAGGCCAGTGTGCTAGCAGATGGCCATTTAACCTCCTTTGTGTTGCAGCACACCAATAGACTAGGTGGCACTGTCACAAAAAACTATGGTCCAAGAAATGCTGTCCTTAGACTGTGTGTTCTGAAAATGCAGCCTCTTTACCGCAGCTATATAGTATAGGCTCAAGCTGCTACAGGAGGTAACCCATTTTCAGCCTTGAACTTTATTTCCTTAGCTCACGGTCTAACTTGCTGGGTGAGAACGGACTGTTTTCTTTTGTTTGGTGTTTGCCTACCACATTTTTGGATCCCGAGGCAAACCGTCATTAACGACATAACAATCTCAGACATGCAGAAAGAATACGGATTCCAGCGTTTTCTTTATTGGGAGAAGGATATCCTCTGCACACAAACAACTGACAAATACATCACTACCAAGAGTGATTTCAAGTCAGAGGCTTGTGTCTATGCAGATATAGGTTTATAACCAGAGCTTCATTTTGGAGATTTCAGTGAGAAACAATGGTCTGCTGTGTCCTGTTTATTGTTGTGTGTTTCACTTTTTGTATCGGTACAACAATACTAGTCCTTCACTTGTGTTGTTTCTGACACCGTATAGGATTGGCTAGAATGGCTGCAATCACCTCCGGCACCCGGAACCAGATGCAGCCGTGCCCAGTGAAATGTAGCAGTAATAGCAGTAATAACGTTAAAAAAGAGAAGTCAGTGAGAAGAAAAATTTATCACTTTGTGCAGCGTAAACCAGTAACCAGTAACCAGTACAGCATATGACCTACCATCTAAAGAACATCTAAAGAAATTAAAGCTGCAAGCAGCGTTGGGCAGGCCCTCGCACTTGTAGTGCGTCGGGGTGTGAGGCGACCACGTTGCATATTCTGGAGCTCTGCCGGTGCAGCTGTCAATTTGCTACGCGCTTCGGACGCTGCATAAAGGTGTTATTCGTCACTTCCTGTGTCCCCTTTGTGGCGCTACATAGCACTTGGTGCTATGACTATAAATGAATATTGGCGTGTAGTGTGTTCGGGGCGGGACAGTTATCAAGCACGTAAAGTTTGGTTCAGATGTGAGCATGTACACTGAAGTTACAACAACTCCCTGTGTCAAGAGTTGATCTTTGATGCCACGCCCATTGACGAAAACTCACAGATAGCACAACTTTTCATCGTCTATGCCTTTAGAAGGCACAGCAGAAAATTGAAGTCAATCCAATTAATTTCCTAGGAGGAGTTCGGACCTTGTAAAAGGCCATAAATGGGCTGTAATAGCACATTCAAATCAAAATGGCTGACTTCCTGTCTGATTTTGGGTACGGTTCCAAGAGGCTTTTTTGTGCATCTTGGGATGATACATGTGCCACAAAAGTTTTTGTGCAAATTGGTGATTCAGTGCGCAGGGGCTGCATCTTTGAAGAGACGCTTCCTGATTCCAGCAGGTGGCAGTATGAGGTTGAGTGAATTTTGACCTGTAGATGTGTTCAGGGTGTGTCCCTTATCAAATGTGTGAAATTTGGTAGGGATATGAAAATGTACAGCGAAGTTACAACAACTTCCTGTGTCATGGCAAAGCAGCGAACTTTGACGCCACGCCAAGGACACACCGTTATCCGAAAAAGATTCACAACATAGCATCATCAATGTCTTAAGGCTCTTCTGAGACTGTTTTGAAGCAGGTGAGGCAAATGTGTTGGCAGTAGTACATAACAGCATAAAACTTGACACTTCCTGTTGCCAGCAGGTGGCGCTATGAAATTGTGTGTTTATTGACATATAGATGTGTTCAGGGCGGGACTCTCATTCTACATGTACAGTTTGGTGCAGATCTGAGCATACACACTGAAGTTATAACAACTTCCTGTTTCACAGCAAATTATCGATTTCGGACGCCACGCCAAGGGCACGCCCATTTACGAAAACTCACAGATAGCTCAGCTTTTTATCCTCAATGCCTTTAGAAGGCACAGCAGAAATTTGAAGTTGATCAGACTAAATCCCTAGGAGGAGTTCGTTAAAGAGTGTGTAAATCATCCAAAACATGATGATAAAATTCAAAATGGCTGATTTCCTGTTGGGTTTAGGGCATCGCTCCGTGAGACTTTTTGGTACTTCTGGACATGATACATGTGCCACAGAAATTTTATACATGTAGGTGAAACATGCCATGGGGGCTGCTTCGTTGAAGGTCATTTCCTGTTGCCACAATGTGGCGCTATGACCACGGGTGAATGTTAGCATGGCAGTGCGGGACTTTTATTAAATGGGTAAAATTTCGTACAGATCTGAGCATGTACAGTAAAGTTACAACAACTTCCTGTGTCATGGCGAAGTCGATTGGACTAAATCCCTAGGAGGAGTTTGTTAAAGTACAAAGTGTGTAAATCGCCAAAAATGACCATTTAATCCAAAATGGCTGACTTCCTGTTTGGTTTAGGCAATGGCTCCAAGAGGCTTTTTTGTACATCTGGACATGATACACCTACCACAGAAATTACACACACAAATGTGTACCCTCCAATGTGGTACACAAAAGTATTAAGTAGTCTGCAATCTGGTGAATATGTCTATTTATGTAAAGGGAAACACAAAATTCAGGAGGCAGCTGACAATTCAAAATATAATGGATTATATTATTATTACATTCAGAATCTCTCCAACAAATCTGTGTTCTCTGATATGTCAAGAAAAAAGTCATGTTATTTTGAGAAAAACCTTATAATATTATGAGACAGAAGCCATAATTTAATGAGAAAAAAGAAAAGAAAATTCTTCCCTGAGCATCCTGGAGAAGAGAGACAGTCCCAAACAGAGCAGAGGTGTCTCTGAGCAAGGGGGACAGAGACAGCAGGCCACAACGCTATCGGTCAGCGGAAAGCAGCCACACTGCAGTCCAACCTGTTTACAAGTCTAAATAACTGAAGACTGCAGAAAATACTAACACGTGCACTATGACTCCAAGCAACCTCTTCTACTATGACATGACTTACTATGACAAATATTACAACTTCTTTTCTCATATTATGACTTTTTTCTCAAAATCTCAGATTACGAGTATTTTTTCTAACTCATAGTTGACAGACTACAATTCTGCCTTTTGGTTTATGTTATTCTCTCGCTAATTTAAGGCTGACTGTTCACTGATTTGTGTACTAAATACATTGATTTGACACTGATGCAAAGTTGTGGTTATATTAAAATTTTTGGTAGTCACTGGACATTCTTGCACGTGCCTTTCAAATATCAATCAAGTTAAGTTGTGGCAGATCAGAACACTGAATCTAGTGAGTGAATAGGAGTTAGTACACAAATACATTATGTTATAAAAAAAAATTGTGTTCAGTAAGTCAAATTAAGCGTTGGGCGGGCCCTCGCACTTGTAAGCGCGTCCGCGTGTGAGCCGGCCGAGTTGCATATTCTGGAGCTCTGCCGGTGCGGCTGTGAATTTGTTACGCGGTTATGACGCCGCATGAAGGTGTTATATGTCACTTCCTGTGTCCCCTATGTGGAGCTACATAGCACTTGCAGCTATGAATATAAATCGGAATTGACGTGTAGATGTCTGCGGGGTGGGAGAGTTATCAAGCACGTAAAGTTTGTTTCAGATGTGAGCATTTACACTGAACAATAATGTACCCAAACAATAAAATAAATTCCTTTTATATTTCCCTGCCTTGTTGTTTATGTGTACATACAGAGGAAGAATGTGAGAACAGCACACATTTCATCGTTACTGTGTGTTAGAGCATGGGAGAACAGTGGATACTTTTAATACAGCCCACACCCCTAATACTGTGTAACTATAACAAGTAGAGAACAGAAGAAAAAGATGTTCTTTCTTTACAACTGTCTGCATAGCTTATTCATATTGTGTAATGAATGAAAATAAATAGGCCTACTAGGATCCTCTCTACTTTGACATTTAAGATTAGCTTGTTTGATCCACCTTCATACACATGTGACATTACTGTACAACTTGAGAAAGGTGAGTTGTTTTCTGCTCCAGCCTGCCTAAAAGAAAAGCGTTTTTGGGATTAAATGGACTTTATTAGCTGCTGCAGTGCAGGATGAACTCAGAACAGACCCATTTCTCACCTTATTATTCTAA